TAGTTGGTTAATGTCTTATGTGTGAGTGTTTATACCTATCATGCTTAACATGATACTTGATTATTTTGATTCATATTCTGTGCAGCTTAGTGACCATTAATCTGCATGAATTTGACTACCTAGTAATTTAGTGAACATTATATTATTAGAGTTAAGATCAAACCAATCTTAGATTAGCAATTTAAGTATTGAATTTGGCTGTGCTAGAGAACTCATATTGTGACCACAATTGTGTTTGTTAACTCAATCTTACATAGCTCCAATCCTATCTAATAATTGATTATGTGTTAAATTATGTGTGACCATGTATAACTCTACATGAATTAATTGAATATTGGTAATTTGGAATTGAATTGCTAATAATATTTTAATTGGTAACCAACATGAATTGTCATAATTAATAGTTAAACCATTGGGGGAAGGTGAATTCGAACTAACAGAAATATCTTTGTTATTTGATTGAATTGTGTTAAGAATTTAAGTTTATCTAAACTTGCAAAATTAGATAAAATCCATTTTTACCTTTGTTAGAATTTTAGATTAATTTAATAGTAAGTATGTTAATTAATTAATACCGTTCCCTGTGATCGATACCCGACTTTTGTGCTATACTATCTACGAGGGGTACACTGCCATGAGTTGAATAACTAGTAGGAGAGTAGGTAAAATTAGGTGTAGCTGTTTCAGACACATCAATTTGGGCTAGGCCTTGGGCCAAGTTAGGTAAGGGTAAATTGGTCTTTTAACGTAGTTGAGACTCTTAGTTATAGGTCGGAATGCAATTATTAATTGGATGTTATTTTATGATGATAACGCAAGGATTTTTGGAGCAGCAGCTAGAGATTTATCTGTGAGATTCAGCAGTCTGATGTGAGTTTCCTTATTGGTGTTTAGCGGGCCGAATGCATCAATGCCAACCTATGGTTTATTATGTTAGGATACTAGATGTGTGTGTGACTCTTGCATGTGTATGCATTGGTATGTATACCGAGCGGTGCTCGATGCCGGGCGAGGCCCGATGACTGTATTGTATGCTATTATCTTTGTGATTATCGCATGTGTTGAATGTTTATATGTTTATATGGTTGTATGTGTATCGGGCGGGGCCCGATGACAGACAAGGCCTGATGATTGACAAATCTATAAACCGAGCGGGTTTGATGCCGGGCGGGGCCCGAGGCCGGGTAGGACTCGATGTCGGGCGGGGCCCGATGAAGGGCGGAGGCCCCGCATGTGTTTATTAGGTATAATATGTGGTATTTTGGGGAACTCACTAAGCTTTGTGCTTACGGTTTTTAGTTTATGTTTCAGGTGCTTCTGGTTCAAAAGGGAAGAGTCCGAGATGATTGCAGAGCACACACCACCTCATTCCGCATTTTGTGATTTACTCTGATATTTTATGTTGTAGTGATACACTTGATCTATCTTGGTTGTGTGACAATGTGTTGGATTACCGTTTTATAAATTTTAAAAATGAAAATTTTGGGTCTTATTTTTGGGAACAGTTGAAGCCTCCGCGATCCGGATGTCGAGCTAGTACGCCCGACGTACTCATAGCGTACGCCCAACGTTATCGGCTAGGGTCTAGAACCACCAATCTTCCGAAGGCCATAACTTCTTTGTTCTATGTCCGATTTCGACGTTCTTTATATCCACGGAAAGGTAATGAGAATCTCTATAATTCTATCAACTCTCCTTTGCCTTACAACTTCCCAAGATTAAATCCAAAGTTCATAAAAGACCCGAACTATCACTTTACCGCTATACCCTTGGGCTTCAAAACGCGAACCGAACACTCAATACCTATAACCTACATTATCCACCATCAAAGTGGGCCTAAACCTCTCATTCCCAAAGCACGAAGCCTTATGATACTTGACCCTCGGGTCACAACTCCGAATTATGGAAACGATTCGTAACAGGGTGTTACAAAGTGAGAGGTTCTGTCGAATACTAGGGTTTGTCTAGAGAGATTTCATATGTTTATGCATTGTCAAATCTGGTCTCGGACCCCTCTATTTACATGGAAAATTTAAACCTAAAAGGATAAATATCGAGTCACAATATAATTATCCATATATTTGATAATTATCTAACTTGCCATATCATTTATCTATAACATTCTAACACTTCGGATTTCATTTAATTAAGATGTCTTTAATTTATTAAAGGCTTAATTAATCAACAAATCAAACCACTATAATTTTCTCGTGTCATCAATTGCTTGTTTCTGTTTTTAGGTGTACCTTATAATGACCATACTATTAATAATAATAATAGTAATATTACAATAAGTTTTGATTGTGGACACCATATTTCAATAATAACTAATCAGGAATTGACAAAAAAACAGGACATTATTTGTCTAATTTCTTGTCGTGAAACAACATACACACTTTTATACATTTAATATGTTTTATTAATCAAAAAAATTTAATATAGTTATATTGTCATAACTAATAATTTTATTTCTACGTGATTTTGATTTAAACTTTTGGTAAAAACGACTTAAATAGAAAACGCCATTTATTGGTACTTACTTTCTTTAAACCCATAAAAAAGTTAAAAATAAAAATAGCGTAACCCCCACTCACCTTTCACTTTCTCTTTTACACTTTATTTGTTTGTTTTCAAGAATTGTTGACTTCTGTCCCCACTGCTGCACAACAATTACTTTGTATTTCTAAATAAAAAAGTTAAAAATAAAAATACCATTCAAGCCCCATCACAGGATCACCTTTGTAGGGTAGGAGGTAGGGGTAACCTTTGGAAAAAATAAATTATCTCTTGTCATTTACGGTATTTCTAAATGTATAATGAATTTTCAATGACTTTTCTTATACTCTTTCTGGGTATTTTTATGATATACTCAATCACAAATGTTAAGATATAACAAGTTTAGTTTATATAAAATCTTACGACAAACAACAAATATTAAAAGCATATAACAAAACCCAAAGTGCTTTTGCACCCTATGAAAATAAATGGTATCATTGAGTCAACCTTTAAGAGTTCCATTAGCCATTACTATCATAGGTCTCCTTAAGTTTTATCAAGCATTTGATACGCGTGTTTTTTTAATGTAATATATAAATAGAAATGTATGTTTGATTGTATATTTATTTTTATTGTATATTTATTTTTATTATTTTATATAAAATTCGTTTCCTTATGAACTTTAACTATATAAAAAAGAGTTTAAAATCCATAACTTAAAAAATATTATTAACAAGAGGGGCTCGTTTATTAATCTAAATTTTTGACGATCAATATGGTTTTCATTGTATGGTTAAAATGCAAAAAACAATATATTATATTTTTTTTAATGTATTTTAGCTTCCTATTATCATCTTAACCATAACGACCTTATTAGGTGGAACAGGAATGGAACTAACCACACGACTGCTGCAATCTTCATTGAAAGCCATCACAATTACGTCGTTGAAGCATGAAGTTGCACATCAGTGGTAGTGACGGGAGCATGAGTACACCGTGGATCGGAACAGAAAAAATTAACTTTTGATTTTACTTCTTAGATGTGTGCTTCAGTTCTTCCTCAGCCTCTCAAATCCAAAATTAAACCCTAGCTCCATCTATTTTATATCTCTTTCGATATACAAAGTTGAGTTTAATCGACGTATCGAATTGGGAGTAGTAAGATGGTGAGAACGAACGATCAGATTGGAGGAACTGACGGTGTCTCAAAATGGACTTCAGTCGATTTTAGGGTAACCATCGGAAAGATATCTATGGCGGTGCATAGGCGATTGTGATTCGGTGACTGAGGCGGTGGAGGGGTCGGCTCCAAAATCTTGAACTGTACCCGACTGACTCAGGATGCGGTTCATAAGCTCATCCAAAATTAATGTTATATATAATTATAACATAATTATACTTATATTTTTTTTATTAAGCCATAGAATTTTGAATAATACATTCAATTATAATATTGAATTTGAATAATATTATACTTTTAAAATTCTATCATACTGTACGAACGAAATTTACATTGTAATATAAAATGTTTTTTTTTAGAAAAAAAATACACGATCACTATTAACTATATCAAATAATTTTTTTTTCATATAACTTAGTTTTTTGAAAATGACAATAGCAACTCAAACAAAAAAAAACTCTGACCAAAATTATAGAAAACAATCTAATTATGAGCAAAATAACATAAAGTGCATTTAAGATAGTGACTTTTATTCGCTATTATAAAAAAATTATTATTTATATTTGTAAAATTCTATAAAATATAGATATATTTATTTGGAGACAAAGTAAGTTAAATATATGTTTACCAAAGGCTTCTAGCACAAACGGTATCAGGTGACGTCTTTCATCTTAGAGGTTGAGGGTTAAGTCCTGTCATGAACATTGATGAAATTAAATGTTAATTTATGAGTAGATTATATTTGCCGGTTAAAAGAAAAACTATAATATTTATCATAATAATAAAGTGATAAATGTGCAATATATATTAATGTTATATATATTTAATACACCTAAAAAGAATATGGTATTATAAGATGATTGCTAATGAATAGAAAGAAAATTTATGTATATTAATTTATTAGATATTTTTTTAAATAATATATAAGGTTTATCCTAACGTGTTAAATTATTTTTATAATATATTTATCGGTTTCAATATAAAAATTATCTTTATATTAATCATAATTCATAACTATAAAATCAATATAATGATATAAAATCATATTTAATACTTTTGATAGTTATATAATAATGATATTTCTCCCTTTTTAGCTTTACTAAACACTAATATATTATTAATTTATTAATATTAATATAGAATTTGCATTAGCAAAAGAATGTTCTTTTAGTTGTTAATTACTATTATTTTTTGATCTTTACGCGCATTTTTAAATATATATGTAATTTTTGGGCCGTTTAGGAGAAAAAGAAAATGTAGTTTTTGATTACTTTAATTCCAAAAAGCTATTTTTTCTACTATTATCATTTCACTTTTGTCTTTACCCTCCCCCACTCTCTATCCCCACTTCCCCTTTCCCAAAACTTCTTCTCTTTCACATTTCTTCTTGAATTTTAAATCTAGGGTTTCTCATTTTCTCTCTTTCGATACACATAACTAACAGGCTCCTTTCCCTATCTCCACAGATTCATCTGGTGTAAAATTTTCTCTGGTTATACACTATTCGAATATAACCACTCACTGTTTGTATGTTAAATCCGCTGGTGTAAGGCTGCAAGCTTCACACTAAAACCTTTAATTTTGCAGCATAAAGTTTCAATTTACCCTAATTCGCTTTTTTTTTATATGGGTTAAATCGACTCTTGACAAACCCATGAAAAACCCTTGATTAAATTTTGTAGTTTTTTGTTTATTTTTTAAGGGTTTTTCATTAAATTCCCTGTTAGTGTTTTTTCTTGCTCAATTTTGAATTTTTGATTCATTTGAATTAAACTGAAGGATTTTGGAAAGAAAGTGGTGTCTTTTGTCAAAATTTTGTTTATTTTTGTGGTGGGGCGGGAGAAAGTTTCCTGGGTAAATGCATGGATGGAAGGGAAGGAATGCCATCGTTTTATCTCAACAGAGGGATTGGTGGATCGGGTTCTCATGCCGGGTCGGGTAATTCACAGGGTGGTGGTTTACACGCCCCACCACCTGGTTTCAAAACTCAATCAAACCCTAACATGTCTCCCCATGGCCATAGCAGCATGAGGGTAGGTTCCTTGGGTCCAACATACCAAGCGGAACACAATCCATCACCCAATTTTCCTCATGGCATTAACATGGGTGGCGGAGGCGGCGGCGGTGTTGGTGGCAGCGCCGGCGGTAACAGTGGTGGGACAGTCGCGATTACCACCCCTAGAAGTGGGACTGACTCCGTTGGGAAGAAAAAGAGAGGGAGGCCTAGAAAATATGGGCCAGATGGATCACATATGGCTTTAGCGCTCACACCGGCATCCATGGCTGCTTCTCCTGGTTCTCTCACACCGACCCCAAAAAAGAACAGGGGGAGGCCTCCTGGGAGTGGTAGAAAGCAAAGACTTGCAGATGTCGGTATGTCTACTTACCAAATTAACTTGCCTGAAATCTGAATGATGTGATAGTTTTTATCCTATTCTCATGCTTGTCAATTCATTTGGATTTATTAAGCAAACAAAGGGAAATCTCATTAGTGAATGCCCCATGCACACTCGAATCAAAATGATATATGATTATATGAAACTTAGTTCTTACCCTTGTCCTCAAGCACATTTAATCTACATGTCACTAGAATGCTAGCTTATGTGGTTAAACTTTAGAGAAAGTTGTATCAAACCCCTGGTTCATGATTCTTGAATGTAATCTAGTTATATAATAGAAGTTTTGGTTTTCATATGCGGAAGTGAACACGTGCAAATAGCAAGTAAATTAGGGTATCCCGCGTAGGAAAGTTTTCTATCTCATGCAAGCAAATGTTTTGTTTGTTTCGTTTGTGTTTTATTTCACGCCTCCTGCTTACATGTTTTGAGCATTGATCCTGATGCGATAGAGAGATCAATTCTAGACCTAGAACATGAAATTGGTGTAAATGGAAACATGTACTTATCTTGAATTATATCGGATTTTGTTTTCGTTGTATATATATAAACAAAGCTTGTGCCTTTTTGGTCATATCTTATTCATTCTCGAGCTTTTGTTTCTATTCCTGTTTGTTTGAAGAATCTCTGCTCTCTGTTGGTATCTTTTTGTGCCAAGTGTTCATTTTATAATCCAAAACGCATTTCGCTTTGATGTTATTAACTTTTTTTTTTTTTTTTTTTTTTTTCCCATCACATTCATTTTTATCCTCTCAGGTGAGTGGATGAGTACTTCGGCAGGAATAGCTTTTACACCCCACATCATCCATGTTGCAGCTGGAGAGGTAGGCACTCAATGGCCTATTCATTGTACACATCACTGTACTTTGAAGTATAACAAATCTTTGAATAAATGGATTGAACTATTAGTCCCTTTTTTTTTTTTAATGTTTTTGAAAAAGGAAAGGAAACTAATTAATTGCATGGTTTTACTGTACTTTGCAGGATGTTGCAGCAAAGTTACTATGTTTCGCACAACAAAGGCCAAGGGCTCTATGCATTTTGTCAGGCAACGGTGCTGTTTCTGCAGTCACACTACGCCAGTTTACATCTTCTGCTGCCACTGTCACTTATGAGGTTCGTCAACAAATTTACTTTTATTTTATGAAAACTTCAACACTTTCCTTTTTGGTTCTATAATAATAATAATAATAATATCTTGATTTCTATTTGAAAAGTTAGATTCATGAAATAAAGTGAATCTTACTTGGTTGAATATGAGCTGTTTTGTAGGGCCGTTTTGAGATACTATGTTTATCAGGATCTTATCTGCTTCCTGAAACGGGTGCACTCAGCAACCGAACCGGTGGTCTTAGCATATCAGTTTGCAGTCCTGATGGTCATGTCATTGGTGGTGCAATAGGCGGCAGGCTGATCGCATCCACCCTCGTCCAGGTATCTTTCTCAATTCTCTCTCACACACCTTCAACTTTCAAAGCTTCAATCTTTATAAAAGCTTTTTAATCTTTGTTTTTCCAGGTGGTTGTATGCAGCTTTGTTTATGGTAATAACAGTTCAAAGACAAAGACTAAAGATGAGACATACACACCTTCAAGAGAGGAAAAGAGTCCTGGTGGTGGTGCTCAGCTGAATGAAGCTAGCTCTGCTCCTACTAGCCAACAACATGCGGTTGCTTGGCCACCAGATCCTAGAAACTCACAGCATACTGAGATTGACCTAACCCGTGGATGATGATGATGATGATGATGATGATGACTGTATAGGCGCGTGTTGTTGTAAATGCAATCAATGCCTCCGGTGAAAAAGAAAAGAAAGAAACAGAGATTTGATGAGATCTTAAGCTCTTATTATTAGCCTCCTTAATGTCTTCGTTTATGTGTAGATTATAGATGGGATTGTGGGCTAACGTATTTGTAATCAACAAAGTCTCAGAGTTTTTTATTTTTATTTTTATTTTATTTTGAACTAGGCCTAGCTTTAGGAAGGAACTTTATTATTTTCGAGTCGGTAGTAATCTTCTACATCTTCAATTGTTAGCCTATTTGTGACCAGTCAGTAGTCATTGACAAACATTGGTCAATTTAATGGAAATTTTTTAATTTCTAGCTTTTAGATTCTCTCTGTACATCTATCTGCATTCATGCTGATTTACTACAGATTGATTGTTTTTACTTTTTATACGTTTTCGATTTGTGTGAGGGTTTATTTCCGTAGGTTCATTTCTCTTCGGAATGATGTTATTCTGGGGTCAAATATAATATTCCGTTTATTTTTAATATTCATTAGTATTATGATAAAGAAATTATGTCAAATATTTAATAACATAAAATTAACATTATCACCATCAAACACCAATACCATATATAATGAGGCTTTTCGGTGATGAGTAACAGATTTAAAAGATAAAACATATATCTACAATCTCAATATAAATATATGAAAAATGAACCGTATAATAAATTAAAATTGAACTATAACGTTAAATGAAATAAAATATGTTACAATCAAGTTGAAACAAGATAACAGTGAAACAAACTTACATATGAGTATAATCTAATTTAAAGAAATTACAATTAAAAATGAAAAACAACCAATAATTTAGAAGGTGTCTTTATTTTATTGCGAATCCGAATCAATTATCCGATAAAGCCACCAGGAGGTTTTTTCTTCACGAATCATTGGATTGAGTAATTTCTTCTTTAGTTGTGTGTTTAACTATAATTTTTTTGAGGTATACTCCACAAAATGCTTCTTCACCTTAAGAAATAACCACCATCTGGATCACCACTTTTATATAAATAAATAAAAATAAAATTTGAGAGAGAGAGAGAGGAAGAGATCATGGAGCTCCTTAGCTCTACTAACTCAGGGCATACACAATGTAAATAATATATGAGTTGAATAAGGTGGTGGCTATGATTAAATGAATGTTTAACTGAGTGTAGATGATGACATGGAGTAGAGTTGAATGAAAGAGTTCAATGATTATTCAACTCTTTATTAAGGTTCAATAGAGAGAATAAGATGACCATTAGGAATGAATGTGTTTAATGAATTGTGGCAAAAGTAAAGTTGAATATGTATTTAATGGGCGATGTAACGATGATTTGATAATTTATTGAACTCGTTCGTATTCAATAGATTGTTGATGCCCTCACTTAACAACACCACCACCCCAAGGTTCTTACTCTTGTTCATAAGTCACAAGGTTGGCTCACATACATACTGTATAGCTTTATAAACTGCTTTATAGATGATCCTTAGTACAATAACTTTAATAAAAAAAAAACTTTTGCAAATAAAAAAAAAAAAGCTTTTGCAGAATATAAATTACTTTATACAGAAAAGAATTCACAAAGTTTGTAAAATCACTCTATATTATAAGGGTATTGTAAGATATTTTTTTTATAATTTATGATAACTATGGAAAAAATATGCATGATATACCTTACTGTTTTGGTCATTTGTAGTGATTACCTACCTCATTAGTCATTACAGTGTTTTGAATAAGCCGATTAAATACCATAATAAACTTATGAAAATAGATTTTATCATATTCTGTAACCACATTCCACATTCCACAAGTAAGCATACTAAGTTATTATTAATATTAATATTATTTACATTCCCCAGAGGCAGAGCTAACAATCTTTAGTGCAAAAGCACATTCCACGAAGACCACGACACCAACCACCAGAAAACCCTTCGTTTTTGCAAACGAGACCACAGTTATTGTTGCTGACGCACCGCCCTTTAAATCCATGGCTCTGCGACTCGCAGGTCCTCCCCTCTGCCACCATCATCGTCCCACTCCCACCTCTTTTTTCTTCATCTGTACATTCAGCACTTTGATTATACTATATATATAGTACAACAGGAAAAAAGAAACAGATCGAAAGTTATGTCCATGTAATTAAGTAAGTAAGCAAGGAGATAGAGAAACTAACATGTAACCAAGAGGAGTAGGAGGACCAGGAAGACGCCATTGATGCTGATTTTCTCCATGGTTATATATGCTCTGTAGAATTGAACTGTGTGTGTCTGTAATGTATGTGGTTTGGGTGGAGAAGATGGTTTGTTTATATATATGGGCATCAATACAATAATAGAGTTAGATCGAATCATGCATGGGAAGAAGTAGGCTTCACGTGTTGAAGTTGCAAATAACAGACGTTCTTGACAAGTGTCTATAGAGTCTCTACACGTATCTTTCACTTTTATATATCCGCCAAAACTTTGAAAAAAGTCCTCTCAAAAGATAAATCTTCACGAGAAAATGATATTAAAGGTGAGAGAGAGCATCTCCATCATCATTTCATACCTGTTTTTCATGTCTAATGCATTGTTAATCATATTTTACTTGTATCGCATTCTTTGTGACTTTTATGATAATTCTCAATTTTATTTGACATTCCTAAAGAATGATCTTATAACTCATCATATATGTTGGGAGTATTTTCTCTACACATGAAGACTTTTTTGAAAAGTAAACCAATGGCCATTTATATTTGCAAAATGAAATATTAACATGCTTCATATATTACAAATTTGCTTTAAGGAAATGCGAATGCCTATTTTTTTTTTCCATAACATATATAAATTTTTTGTAACGGGATCATTGGCATAGTAATTTAACAAATTGAATGGTATTTTATCATAATTTCTAAAAAATGTCGTTTATTGTTACAAGCATGGTATGAAACAACCTTTATTAATCAATAATCTGATGACGCTGTCAAAATAATACAAACTCTTCGAAATCCAATAACCCCTTTTCATAATATTTCAATTCAATATCTATTCAAAGGATTATGCAACCACGTCCACGATTGCTCATGCCTCATGCCCATTCTCACACAGATAGATAATACACAATACACACCATTTGTAAACTCCAAGCCCGTATATCATATGCCAAATAGTAATCAAAGATTCATATAATTTAACAACACATTAACATTTTAAAAAAGAAAAAAAAAACATTATTTAACAACTTAATTACAAACAAACATTTATAACAATGATGATTGCTAACTTATTGCTATATTGACCGAAGAACCACCACCTCTCATGAAACAGCATTTAAGCCAACACATTAATTAAGCAGCTTCTTTATATCCTTCTGCAACAACGTACCACAACACAACCAAATTAAAGAAAACTTTTTAACATACCATTGAAGCTTTTAAATCAATGACAAAAGATTAGAATATAAGAAGACATAGTTTTTTCAATTACCTCTATGCTGAGAGGACTAGTGGTGGGTGCATAGCGACTAACAACCTCTCCTTCTCTGTTGACTAGAAACTTTGTGAAGTTCCATTTAATACTGTCACCAAGAAACCCTCCTTTGCTTGATTTCAAAAACTTGTACAAAGGATCAGCATCTTTCCCATTCACATTAACCTACATTAAGTCCTCTATTAAGTTGTTCTTTCTGCATTAAGTCAAAAAGAAATAACACCAACCAACCTTGCTAAAGACAGGGTATTCTGCTTTAAATCGAGTGCAAGCAAACTCCTGGATTTCTTCATTGCTTCCAGGTTCTTGTCCTCCAAACTGGTTGCATGGAAATGCAAGGACTTCAAAACCTGTAAAATAACAAACACCGGTCAGGATCCAAAAATCCATTCCTCCACCAAAGGCTTATAATATCCCAATTATAAAATATGAAACCTTAAAAGTGTCAAACAAAAAATCCAAAAACCAACCTTGATCCTTGTACTTCTGGTACAAAGTTGTCAACTCAGGATAATTCGAATTTGTAAAGCCACTGCACCAAAAATTAATGAAATCAATGACAAATGTTGTACTCTTTCTGGTAGTGGTGATTAAAAAAAAAGTCGAATCTTTTGGCATTCGAGTGAGATTTGATTGGATTATGTAAATATAAGAAGCTAATGTAGATATATACCACTGTGAGGCAACATTAACAATCAGCGAGACTTTTCCCTTGTACTTGCTAAGCTCCACTTCTTGTCCTTTAACGTCCTGAAATTAAGGGCATAAATAATTAAACACCAGTAATCATGTCAACATTCATGGAAATAATCTTATGTTACCTAAAACAAAAAAAAATACTCTATATATCTGTATAAACTTAAAAGTTCACTTCATAGAAGTAAGAAGTTCCATATTAACCATATTGCTAAAAAATGACATAATGATCGCAAAGTTCATCACTAATGACTGCATATGGAATCTTAATCTTGCAAGTTTTAGAAAAACGACATCTACTTACTGAATCAAAAGACGATTGCCTTTTAAAAAAAAATAAAAAATTAACAAACAAATACACCGATAAAAACATGAACACGTAGCCTAAAAGTTGTAAAGATCGTGAATTTTAGCAAAAACTGCCAGACAAAATGGTTTTTTGTTAATTTTGTAAACCCCACAAAATAAATAATCAGAAAATCAAGGCGAGTTGCAAAAAATCTCAACCCCATGATCCAAATGGATTTAGTTTCTATAATCGCATCACATCTCTGTATGATTTAACAAAAAACTGATCGTTCGAAGAAGCTCCTATAACAAAACCTTACTATAAAATATAAATCACAAACAGAGCCACATGATGAATGAAACCAACTCCAAATTAAAACCCTTAAATGAAAAAAATTTAGAAATCATCTAACCTTTACAGTGAAGTCATAAACTGATTTCTTGGCTTGAGTGGCCATCGTATAATTGATACAGACAAAACTTGTAATCTTTCTGAACTGATTGTGCAAGAAAACGAAGAAAACTTGTGTGATTTGAGACAACAGAAAAGGCTTCAATTTATATGAAAGAAAGATGAGATTTTGGGGAATTAATAGTCAAAATCAAGAATTAAAGAATTCGAGTTTCTCGTGTGGATGCGTATGAATACAGAGCTCGCAACGTGTCTTTGTGGTGTTCTAGAGAAACGGGTCGGTATGTGGACAAGATACAATTAACGGTCAAGATGTGATCTAAGATCGAGCAACGGTTAATAATGGTGTTTGATTGAGTGCAAGATGACCATGGAAGAAATATCACAGTTTAGACCCTTGTAATTTAAAATATTTCTAACAATAAGCCTTAACTCTTGTTATTTAACAGAAACAAAGACCGATAATTAGACATGACAATCGGGTTGGATTCGGGTTGGCGGGTCAGAAAACATAAACTTACCCCAACCCATATAATATATGTGTTGACAGGTTGGCAGGTCACGGGTTGGTAGGTTGAAAACCTCAACCCAACCCAACCCATATAATCCGTTTAAGTATATAGGTTAGCGAGTTCACAAGTTAGTGGGTCGAACCCAACCCATAGAACCCGTTTAATAAATAAGCAACGTATTTTAAAAAATAAGTTTTTTTCAACATAAAGTCATAAACTGATTAAAGTAATTAACATAAAAAAAAAGGTTTTCAACATAAATTCATAAAGTCATTAACATCCAAATAAAATTGAAAAATGAAAACATTCATACAAAGTGGATGCGTTCTTCCTTCGTGACTCGTGAGTATCTAAAAATGACGACATTTGTTTTTTCTTTTTTGATTAGGGCACCGCAAAGGATGTTATTTGGGTCGGAACCGGACCGAACCCAAATAACCCGAAAACTAAATAAGGATAATTGCATGAATCGAAAACCGAACCGATTAACCAATACGGGTTCGGTTCGTTTCGGGTATTAATCGGTTCGGTTCGATTATTACCCGAATAACATGTACAAGATGATTAGGGACCTAATATAACTAAAACAAACCGAATAAACCGTATTAGGATTCTATAACCCGAATAATAGAATAATAATGTACTTTTATACATCAACATAAAACGTTCAAAGACTAACATAACACAATAACACATTGAAAGATTTACATAGTATATTAAAATATTGAGAATTAATTGCTTACTTGAGTTTCTTGAGTTGCAGCCCAATTTTCCATGACTAGAAAAAGTAGGAATCCGTGAATCCTTAGAGGTAATAGGAAGGGTCAATTTTTGAAATTATGAAACAAGAAGAAGGATCGACATAAGTGATTTCGAGTTTGGAAGTAGTTGAGAAGATTGTTCAATTTTGAAACAATGAGGACGAACGTAGGGTTTTTTTTCTGTTATGAATGACGAGGACAGAAGTGTGAATCATGATTTTGATTTCTGTCTATTAGAGAAAGTGGACAAGGAATGCTTATTCAGGTCGGGTATTTAGAACCGAATAAGCTCTTATTCCGGTAACCCGAACCGAATAACCCGAAAACCGAATAAACATAATATAGATACCCGAAACCCGAATCGAGTTGCTTATTCGGGCCTAATTCGGTTCAGTTCAGTTAGGGTTTCGGTTCGGTTCGGGTTTTCGGGCCAAATTCTCATCCCTACCGCAAACGCAGACTAGCCACATACGAATACAGAAGGAATATAATGATACGAAATATTACGAATACGAAAGGAAATCAGATTTTATTAATAATTAAATATATCTATTTTTTTAAAATGTACTATATATATATATATATATATATATATATATATATATATATATATATATATATATATAGT